ATGCTTTCGATCTATCCGGTTCGGTCTCACAGAAGCTCACGGGTAACGAATGATACCGATAATCTCTGCCTTACCTGGCATTTATGAGAATATGGTGTTATTATGGGTTTTCATACTTTACTCTCACCGATTACTTTTGTCAGGTCAATTAAGAAACAATTTCATTTTCTTCGTAACAATTCAGAGTCTGGAATTATCATCCACCTTCTTCAAAAAAAAAAATTCTTACGCCTCTCAATTTATTGTATATATTGCCTGAGTAAATCGCATGTTTCTTTTTTTTGCTCAATAATTTTTTTCCGATTACGTCCTGTTAAGATGCCAGGTAGTTTGTATGGTTAATGATAATATGGTGGTGGTTCAAACAGGTATAACTCAATTGTTTTTCTTCTTAGTGGTTAGGTCTTCAGGCACATGGACATTGGGACGTTTGACATGAGTGATTATACGTATTCAGAGACGCTGGGCAAATGGCACATTGCCGATCTGGCGTTTGGTATTAACTATTTGATGCATAGGCAGGTTTGCGCTTTTGATCTCATTCTTAATCTTCTTCTTCTGGTTTCTTTTAAGAGTAAAGGCTTCAAAATTTCAAAATTTCCAGTCGTTTCACGAGTTGTTTTGTTTTCAATATACTCTCTGTTCTTTCATCATTGTGGTGGCTATAATGAAGGAATCCTATATCGTTTTACTTTCCTGATAAGTCATATTTGAGCTCTATTCAGAAGTGTGTGAACTTTTGTCTTCCGTTTCATTACCTTACATTGTAGGATGGTTTAGTTGATTATTCTACTTGTGGTAAAATGTCAAGTCACGCATGTAATCTCAAGGATTGGTGCAGCTGCAGGTGCAAATCCACCAATTCAAGAAGCTGTCTACCTTTCATATCACCATATTGTTAAGAGAGGTACAGCAACAAGTATTACGTAACAGATTTTTCCTATTCATAATTCATAACGTAAAGGGTCTTCTCTTCTCTTTGCAGATTCGTAATAACCCTTATCAATATCAAGTTACACCATCTGTGGAACACGAGAAGACCGCAGCAACGTATTCATTCCATAATGGAGGCACTAAAACAAAAAGAGAGAGATGAGAAAGCAATCGAATCGAGAAAGAAGCGTGTGAGAAGAAAAGAAATCGTCAACGCCAAAAAAACAGGGTACTAATACTTTCCCATCTTACACCAAACTAACCCTCCAGAAAATTGATTCATGCGAACATGTTAAATTTGCCTATTTCGTCAAACCAACCTGATACGCCCCTGGAGTAGATCGTGATTGAAGTTAAGTGAATGGACGGATCGGATCACAAAGGAACCGATAATGAATGATTGAGCGGATTGAAAAGTGAAACGAATGGCTATACTAGAGATCCAGCGGAAGAGATCTCTAACACCACCTCCAACGTGCTGATATTACACACAACAAGTGAGAGGGAATCTGTGAACTTAGTTGATATTACGCACAACAAGTGAACAGATGAAGTGATCAAACAAAAGAGAGGTTTTGGTAAAAAGATTATTGATAAACTGAAAAGGATTTCGTCCAGTACAATATAAAGGGAAAGAGAAGAGGAAGAAGAGAGATGAGTCAATGGAACAGACTCCATGACCATCTCGGAAACACACAAACAATTAAAGACAAAGTTTGAAAAAAATAGACCCTTGACTTCATGGCCACGTTAGAATTGATGGGCCTTGGTCTTGATCAGCTAAATGGGTGATTTGTATGTGACCCATTTGCCTCATTAAAAACCTTGTCAAGAAAACCCATTGGGACAAAACTTGACAAGGGAAAAAGAGTACAAATGAGACACATGCCCATTTGCTGATCTCTTGAGCTTGGATCAAAAACCAGGGAGGTTTAGGATCATGTCTTCTCCATCTTGGCTCAAGATTAACTCCAGAATGAGTAATCAGTTCCATTGGCGCAGCTACAGAATCCTTGGAAACAAGCTCCTTCTCAGCTGCAAGCTCTTTAATTCCGTCAGGTTCCAGCTCCATATGTTTAGCTCCATCAGGTTCAAGTTGCGCGGCTTCAAGTCCCTCCTCGGCTTCAAGCTGCTCCATTCCATCTTCTTCCTCGGCCAAAAGCTGCTTTTCCTGAACCTCCTCATCCATGATCGCATCATCCCTCCCTCTTGAAAAAGTTTTGTCCTCAAAACTAGTTGACCTGCACCAAAAGAAAGCAAATTAGGTCTCATACGCCTTTGGGAATCTAGATACTTACCTTGGGTTTGCTTCTTTGGATATCCTAGATAAGAGTCTGGTGGTTTCTCTGGAATTGGATTGGAAAATGTGAGCCACTCTTCTTGATTTTGGTTCAGTGTTGCCTCGCCTTTGGTAAATAGAGAACTCAAACAAAGAACCATAGGTGAACAGGGAATGAGATGAACGTGAGATGAGACTGTGTTGTTCTTTGATGCTGCTTCTTCCAGTTCTTTATGCTTCTCCATAAAACCTGATCCTTTGTTGACACTCAAGGAAAAGAACAAGTGCATTATACTTGAAATGGGAATTTCAAAAACAAAATTCTGAAGTTTCTGATGTATCATGAAATGATCCCAATAGTAAATCAAGTATTGAGCTTCACTAACCTGTGTACTATTCAAAACGCTCATTAGTGAATCAGCTGCGGCAATTGACTTAAGAACATGTTGCTCATACTCCTTCTTGGTATGGCAAGTTAAAGCTTTGTGAGCTTCTAGGCGTCTCTCTTGCTCAGCTGTACCTTTCTCAACTTCTTTAAACCAAGACAAGTGCATTAAGACAGTTAAAAAGACAGGATGAATGTGTTGGTTTAAGAATTCACTTAGCTTAGAAGTAGGCATGGCTTGACTGTATTCTTGTTCTGATTTTGACTTCCTCTTGTTGTTCGGTTCTGGTCCTTCTGGATTGAACTCATGGTCTTGTAGTTGTTGGTCTGGTGGTTTAGATTCTGGCGGATCCAGGTTTGGTTGAGTCTCCTTTTCTTGATTTGCTTTCTCCATTTGTTCTTCACTACTTCCTGTACCTGTCTCAACACCTTTGGAGAAAGACAAGTGCATCATACCAGTCATGGAATCATCATAAACAGTTTGAAAAAGTTTAGCTTGTACCTTTCCATTGTTAGAGACTGAAACAATTTCTTGTTTCTTGTTTCCTTGCAGTTGGTAACAGGGGGTTTGGACTGAAACATCTTTGGCACCTAAACCTTTCTCCGCGTGATCCTTTGGCACTTCTTTGACACTTCCTGCTGCCATAGCATCGTGGTCTCTGTTCCTGGTCCTGCAAAAGGTTAATTCTTGTAATTGTTGAGAAACAGAATGCTTACCTTTGCTTTGAATGCTTTCTTGTGGTTCAGGACTGGTTTCTTTAGAGAAATGTCTTGGATAAGGCTTTGTGATCTTGTCAGGCTGCTTGGGTTTCGTCTTCCCATGGCTACTATAGTACTCCTCAACCGAACGAGTTCCTTCGCTATGCTTCCTTATCTTGGAATGAGGTTCACGCTGATAATGATTGGGAGCGAACCGCTGCCTCATAACCCTTTTCATTTCTCCCCAAGTAGAGATCTCATAAGCTCCACTATAAGCTGTGCCGTCTCAACCTGTTTCCACCAACTTAGAGCATAATACTTGAACTCCATAGCTGCTAATGTGACTCGGTTGATGTCAGCTATGTTATGTCGGTTGAAGATAATCTCGCACTTCCTCTCCCAATCCAGATATACATCCGGATCATTGTTCCCATGGAATGGCGGAATCATCATGTAACCACTAAGATCCTCAATCGGCTTCTTCTTAGATGTGACCGGATCCTTAGGTTGCTTCCGCTTTCCTTCTTTAATCTTTTCTCTCCGATCAAACTCCTCAATCATCATCTTCTTGATCTGTTCAAGCATGGCTTCGTTGAGGCTTGATGGTGATTCTCGGCTTGTTTCCTCTTCTTCTTCTTCTGAGGCCATAGCACCTGAAAATTGCAAACAAAAATCTCGGCAGTCACTAGTTCACAGAAACAAGCAAACAATTCCGAAAAATTATGTAAACAATTTTAAAAATTATGAAATAAATTCTAAAATACAGATAAGGTGCTAATGAACCAGGATATGATGCCAGAATGCTCAAAAAAATTACGAAAATAATTCCAGCAACTAGATCTATGATGATTCAAGAACAGAAGATGAACAGCCAGATCTAAGATGCTAAGAATGATGATTCAATGGTTGGAAAATGCAATAGAGTAGCCGATATGCTGATGGTAACAAGGAAATGATCAGGAGAACAGTGATGATGAGTAGATCTATGACTTTCTAAATGAGAAGATGAACAGACAAAACTAAGAAAAATCATAGAGATGAAATCACTTAGCTTCAAGGGGCTCTGATACCACCTGATACGCCCCTGGACTAGATAGACTTGAAGGTAAGTGAATGGAGTGGATCGGATCACAAAGGAACCGATGATGAATGATTGAGCGGATTGAAAGTGAAACGAATGGCTATACTAGAGATCCAGCGGAAGAGATCTCTAACACCACCTCCAACGTGTTGATATTACACACAACAAGTGAGAGGGAATCTGTAGACTTAGTTGATATTACGCACAACAAGTGAACAGAGAATGATCAAACAAAAGAGAGGTTTTGGTAAAAGATTATTGATAAACTGAAAAGGATTTCGTCCAGTACAATATAAAGGGAAAGAGAAGAGAGAAGAAGAGAGATGAGTCAAGGAACAGACTCCATGACCATCTCGGAAACACACAAACAATTAAAGACAAAGTTTGAAAAAAATAGACCCTTGACTTCAGCCACGTTAGAATTGATGGGCCTTGGTCTTGATCAGCTAAATGGGTTATTTGTATGTGACCCATTTGCCTCATTAAAAACCTTGTCAAGAAAACCCATTGGGACAAAACTTGACAAGGGAAAAAGAGTACAAATGAGACACATGCCCATTTGCTGATCTCTTGAGCTTGGATCAAAAACCAGGGAGGTTTAGGATCATGTCTTCTCCATCTTGGCTCAAGATTAACTCCAGAATGAGTAATCAGTTCCATTGGCGCAGCTACAGAATCCTTGGAAACAAGCTCTTCTCAGCTGCAAGCTCTTTAATTCCGTCAGGTTCCAGCTCCATATGTTTAGCTCCATCAGGTTCAAGTTGCGCGGCTTCAAGTCCCTCCTCGGCTTCAAGCTGCTCCATTCCATCTTCTTCCTCGGCCAAAAGCTGCTTTTCCTGAACCTCCTCATCCATGATCGCATCACAACCTCCTCGCAAAATCTATTTACTCACAAGATGGTTATTTAATAAACATATATATCAGAAAACGTAAAAGAGCCTTAGAATCTAAACAAAACTGGAATATTTATACAAAAATGTTGATTCGGTTAAACATCAACTATAACTTCTACGCAGAGAAACTGTTCCACATGGCCGTAAACGTGAAGAAAATAGAAATCATGGCGGGACAAGTTCATATAATGATAAAGGTACACAATACTTATTCAAGATTTTTTTTTTTTTTAATCTCGTACTGTTGGTTGTTGTATGTTTAGTTGTTGAATTATTTGAAACGATTATCAAGCAATCGAGTAAGATACGTTAAATTGGACAATGTCTCGGTTTTATAACAGAGAGCGATCAAGATCAGCAAGACAGAAGAGAATGACCATACTCAGGAGTAAAAGGGAAGGAAGACGTCTGCAAGGTAAGAAGACTAAAATAAAGTTCACATTTTCCTCACCTTTTACGTACCATGGTCACAAAACTTATGAGAATAACAAAACCTACATTCCGAGCCAGTGTCACAGACTTAAAAAATTCCCTTTGATGAATGTAGCTACAAACATTGTTACTACTCTTTATACGTTCACTTATGAATCAGTTCAAGGAACTCTACTTCCTCTTTTTTCGAAGGTCTCTTTAATTTTCAGTAGAACTAACTCTTATTCCTCTCACGTCTTATTCCAATTTAATTTCTTCCCTGGCATGTTTATTTTGTGTGAGCAAGTTCTTATTACCAAGTCCTTGATTTTCAGGCATACTGCTCCCTCGCCCATTAGCGAGCTGAGGTTCTGCAGGCGTCGCTAAATATTTTATTTACTTGCCAAGATCGTACGAAACAGGTGATGCAAGTCGGTTCACAATATCGCAATTGCTGGTAAGCATTTCCATGCTTAAGAAAGATTCATAGCTAAACAAATTTAATTCTTTAATTCTCCTAAAGTCCTACCTTATGATTGTGCTTTCCTATAGTAGATTTGTACAATCTCTTTGATGGATCGCTTGCATATGATGATAACTCATCTTACTGGTAGGAAATTTGGTCTTGATGACAACACAATTCGACTTCTTTTGTCATGCAATAGCTTTTTACATGGATAACCGATCGTCTCCATCATCCCACCCATGATATTGTGAGTCTGTGACTGAAATGCTCGCCAATTAAGTTGGTAAAGTCATTAGGTTCTCATTATTGATTACTCTCATTGTTTTTTTAGATTTTGTGAGCCTGGTGGTTGTGCTTTTCTTTGATTTTGCATTTATAGCAAAACCAAACTGGATGGTGGAGTGATGCCGATTGTCAAGGTGGAGAATGACCAAAGCTAACCACGGGGCTGATTAAAGTTTGTATAAGAGGCACAAAGGAGGATGGTTGCTGATATAGTGGTATGTTCTTGAGTAGTTTATTTCAGTCTCATACAGTCCATGTTCTTTATTTTAATTGCCGCAGGTTTGGTTTCTAGAGAGCCCATGCTCATGTCTTTACTTTTAGTCATTTATGAGTATAGATTTTAGAATGTTTACTTTGATCCTTAGACTATCGCATCGGACATAAAAAGAAATATGTCACACTGTCCGACAAGAAACAAAAGACTGATAAAAAGATAAATAATCTTGCACATATTCCATCTTTGTGGTAAATGAAGACAAAGAAGCAAAAAGAGATATTTATTCATCATTTCCAAAAAAACACGTAAATCATTTCAAGTCGAGAACTACTTTAACAATGTGAAGCTAAATCTGATTACAATATCTACTAAGATTCACACTGTTAGTATAGTTTTAATGTCTGGGGCTAAGATTTTTGTATAAATATTATAATATATAGTCTCTAATTAATTCTAACATTAAATTTAAAACCAAGACTAATTAATTTGAACTAAGGAGGTGTCAAACCTTGATTTATTTTAGGATCCCCTTCATTTTTGTAAGCGATTGATGGTGTATAGATCATATAATTTGGTTATACATACTCTTTATTTGGTTAAGTCCACATAATTTTTGATGGTGTAGAGATCAAATTATAGTGTATACCTATTTGAATTAGTTAACTCTACAGAATTTTAGAATTGTACTTTCAAAATCAAAGTGAACTTAGGAGAGTTAGCTTTAAAAGAATTCTGTTTGGGACAAATATATTTTTTTGTTTAGAACATCGAAAGCATAATTCATGCTCGATATTTAATTTTCAATACTCTTTTGCTTGAATTGTTTTAACATGTCTGAGTTGTGAAAAACATTTTTTTTTCCTTTTTCAAATGCAGCAAATGTTTGAAAGCAAAAATAGACATATATAATTAAAGCTTTGAGATTTAAGAGTTGGGACTCTCCCTTAAAACAAATAACAATATCTTCAAGGATTAACAAATTGTTACATGTTTCATTAAATCTGTGCATAAAACTAATATTCAATTATTCAGACCAAGGAAACTAGTTTTTTCTGTTTCTATTAAAGTAGATAAATAAAATAAAATGACGCTATTATACATTTTCATGTTTTTGATGACAGAAACTATGAAAAAAAAGACAAATACATAGCATAGATTTGTTTTGAAACATTAGTTTCATATTCTTTTCTAAATTTTTATATATATCATTATACAAATAAAAAGCAAAAAAAATATTTGAAATATTTTATTAACTATAATAAAGTAAATATTTGAAATAAAAAACTCGATAAATTAAAGAAACAAACACAAATACTATTGTATTATTATGATTTTTAAATAATATTATTAAAAATGAAAAACAGAAATGTTAATAAGAAAAAAAATAACTACACTACCCGCGCATAGCGCGGGTTTAAACCTAGTATCTTATATATAATAGATGAATAACTCTCTCCAGACACCTGACACTTTTTAGCTTAAAAAAAAATTGACACGTGGCAGCTTTTTAAATAACTAAAAAAACAAACGAAAAATTGTTTATCAATCCTTCTGCAATTTTTTTTTGGGAAACTTGGTGAGAAGGTGGATTTTAAGTTTGGAATTAAGTTTTGGGTAGTGCAAGTTTAAAATTAGCAAAATGGGTGGATCAGTATTTTGACCTTATCAAGGGACCTCAGTTTTTCTATCTAATTACGCCTACTGCCATTCGTTTTTTTTTTAAATCAAAAATCATATTTACTTACACACATGTGGACCCCTAATATATACCCCTGAGATTTCTTTTTAATTACGCCTTGCTACCACTTTATTTTATTAATTCAAAATTATTAATTTAAAACATAATGTATTCTTTATTTTGTATGTTTAATTTTAGAATTTTCAGAAAACAAATAAGAATTTTATTAATTCAAAAGTCTAAAATTCTAAAATTAAAACATACATTACTAATTCAAGTTTAAATTTAACTTTCTTCTATGGAGTATTCTTTATTTACTTTTTTAAATTATTGGATTTCAAATTTAAAGAAAAGAAACTAGAGGCATATTCAAATGAATATATTTTCAGTCAATATCCCCAAAAATAATTGTTTGGTAAGAGATTTTAATCCTACAGTAGTGTTTTTTAATTAAAAAACATTGAACATAAAAAAAATAAAGAAACATTTCTTCAAAATACCACTTAAACCATTTTCCTTCTTTTCATTGCATTTTTTTAATGGACAATCATTAAAAAATTATTAAGTCCCTAAACAATTTTACATTGACTTAAACAAAATAAATACACATATTTTTCACATAATCTATGTTTAGGGTTTATGATTTTTCAATGCTAAAATCATTTCGGTTTTAGGGTTTACAATATTTACCTATGGATTCACAAATCCGCCACTAGGGTTTATAATTTTTTCATGGATTCACTAATGTTTGACTAGAGTTTAGTGTTTATGATTAAGCGTTTAAAATTGTTTTGCATGGGTTCATCAAACCTTTACTAGGGTTTAGCATTTAGTATTTAGAGTTTAGTATTTTCATTATTAATTTTTTTATTAGTTTATATTACTGCAGGTATTTCTCTTTTGCACGTACACTACAGATGCGTACACCATATATTAGTGTGTAAGGTACATCACTTTCTGTGGAAGATGATATATAAATCTACATTAGTATTAAAAATAGCTAAGAATGCTAGGATCATATATTGGTACAACATATATTGGCACGTACACTAAATATTGGTGTGTACACTATTTTTGGGTACATTATATATTGTCGTGTACACTTGATCAAATGTGAAGTAGAAACTCTTGCTTAAAAAAATGTAGTTTAAGACTATAATATAATATTTATGTTCGGGTGAATGAATGTAGAACAATATTCAGTTTTAGAGTTTAGAGTTTACAATATTTTCAAAGGGTTCATCAATCATTGACTAGAGGTTTCTACTGTATTTTAGATTACATCAAATAAATGTTTAATCCAATAACATTTTTTTTAATGTATTTAATGATTTTTTTTCTATGGGTTCACAACTCCTTAACTAGGGTTTACCATTTAGGGTTTCAGATTTAGGGTTTATAAATTTGTCAAATGGGTTCACCAATCCGCAATTAGGGTATACATTTTTTATGAGTTACCAATTTTTGAATAGAGTTTAGCGTTTAGGGTTTAGAGTTTACAATTTTTCCAAGGGTTCATTAGTACTTGATTAGGGTTTAGTATTTAGGATTTAGTGTTAATGATTAATTAGTTGATTACCTACTGTATTTTAGAGTTTACAATATTTTCAAAGGGTTCATCAATCCTGGACTAGAGGTCTCTATTGTATTTTAGATTACATCAAACAAATGTTTAATCCACCCACCAAAAAAAATACAAATGTTTAATCCAATAACATTTGTTTTAATATATTTTATGAATTTTTCCATGGGTTCATGAATCCTTAACTAGGGTTCACCATTTAGGGTTTATAAATTTTTCATATGGATTCACCAATCCGCAATTAGGGTTTACATTTTTTATGAGTTACCAACTTTTATTAGATATAGTGTATAGGGCTTAGAGTTTAAAATTGTTTCCAAGGGTTCATTA